AGTTCTGGCCTGGGCTACTTAGTGAGGCAGGGGCACTCCCACCTTCCCAAATAACACCAAAAGGAAACAAAGCAATAAAGAAAAAAGCCCCCTTTACTTGATTTTTAATTTTCTTTTTTTTTAAACTTTATTTCTAAGATAGGGTTTTTCTGAGTAGTCTGGAACTTGCGAAGTAAATCAGGCTGCCGGCGAACTCAGAAATTTGCCTGCCTCTGCCTCCTGAATACTGGGTTTAAAGGCCCGCAACATTTCGCCCAGTATTGCTGATTTTTGCGCTGCATATTTGATTAAGCGGCCATTCTGAGCATCGTAATTACCCTTGGAAGATGATGTGCAGTGATGTGATGACTTCTGCAGGAACCACAGGGCCTGGACCTAGTAGTATTTATTTATTATGTTATGTACGCAGTGTTCTGCCTGCATGTATGTCTGCAGGCCTGAAGAGGGCACCAGATCTCATTACGGATGGTTGTGAGCCACCATGTGGTTGTTAGGGAAGAGCAGTGTGCCCTTTACCCCTGAGCCATCTCTCCAGCCCCCACCCCCAAGTTTTTTTTTTTTCTTTAAATAAGCATGCTAGTTGAGTGTAATGTGCATATAATCTTAGCACTTGGAAAGTAGCAGATGACCAGGGTTTTAAGACTGAAGGGACTGCCTGCTTTAGCAGCCATGCTAGCCTGACCTTGCCCCTCTTGCCCCAGTCACTAGGATATCAGATACCCTTGGCAAGGAGAAGTTAGCCAATCAGAAGTTAGCTGGCCGGGCTGTGCTTTATGGCTCTAGGTGTGCTTTATGCACAAGTGCGCTACAGAGCATAACAACCGCGCTATAGGCCATAACAACCAAACAACACAGACAGGTCGCCCAAGCCCAGAAGTGCACCAATCCTGAGACTGTTGTGTACCCCTAGACACGCCCCTTGCTCTACCCAATATATTACCCCTCGTGGTTTCTCGGGATCCTTCTCCAGTCACCGCCTTGATGAATGGACAAAGGCCGAGAGCTAATGGGGTTAGCTCGTTAAACAACAATAAAAGTCTCTTGGTGATTTTGGGGTTTCAGAATTTGGGTACAACAAGACCATCCTGGGCTACACGAGACCCTGTTTCTAAAAACAAAAAACAAAAGGACAAAACTTGTTCTTGCTTTATTTTAGTTTAAAAAAAAAAGACTTATTTTTATGTGTATGAGTGCTTTGCTCACATGTATGTCTGTGTACCAAGTGTGTGCCTGGTGTCTTCCGAGGTCAGAAGACACTGTAATTATGGATGGTTGTGATCTCTATGTCAGTGCTGAGAATTGAACCCGGGTCCTTTGGAAGAGCAACAAGTGCTCTGAATCACAGAGGCGTCTCTCCAGCCCCATACTTATGTTTAAAGAACTAAAACCTCAGCAGAAACTGGAAAAATAAATTTATCTATTGAGTTAAAACAAATTGGGGGGTTGAGGATTTAGCTTAGTGGGTAGAGAGCTTGCACAAGCACAAGGCCTGGGTTTTGTTCTCAGCTGGGGGTGGGTGGGTGAGGGAGACAAAATAAAAAAAGAAAAAAAAAAGCTGGGTGGTGTCACACGCCTTTAATCAGGGCAGAGACAGGCAGATCTCTGAGAGTTCGAGGCCAGCCTGGTCTACAAAGAGAGTCCCAGGATAGCCAGGGCTGTTACACAGAGAAACTCTGGCTTAAAAAACAAAACTCTGGCAAAAAAAAAAAAAAAAACCCAAACCAACCAAACAAAAACAAATAAACAAAACCTAAAAGAACAAATTGGGTATGTTTAGCAGCTACAGAAGTAGAAGACAGGAGAAATAAAGATGAAAAACAAGAGAAGACAAAGATACCTCATAGAGCTGGGCGTTGGTGCCACACACCTTTAATGCCAGCACTTGGGAGGCAGAGGCAG